ACGACCCTATCCAAGGTTTGCTCTCTGATATAGCACGCAACAGTATAGAGCTACAGTTTATCTATTGAAGTTGTCCGTTCATTCGGCGTGTGCACAGACTTACAGCTCTCTCTCCATGGCCGGCGGCTGATTTTGGGGTATACACCTCTATGTATCAATAAGATTATGTATTTATAGAGTTATTTTCTCAGAACTTTGCCAATTTCCATACTTTAAACAAGTCAAAACAAATGGGACTCTTTTCATGGACCAGAGTAATAATAGTAAGTTCATGTATTATTCCTGTATATTTTGTCCGACGCCAGAAGAGAACACAATATTGAATTATATAGGGAGATTTCGGAGATGACTTCTCATTTTCCTTTTCCGAAAAAATTGAAAGCTAAGTATTGTGGATTCGGTACAGATTTACAGACCCCGTCGAATCGAATCACGAATCGACGCTATTGGCTAATCCAATTTCAAGTGGACGTGATTGGCTCTTAAAGAAAGGACAAGGATATTCAACCAATCAGGACTCCAGAGAGATGGAATAATGATTAGAGAAACCGCGCGAATATTGGAAGTTTATAGCGAATTCATAATAAAAGCAAGGGATTTTACAGCGTTATCGTACACGAGCATTGAATTGATTGAAACTCATGTTGTGTTAGTTCAGCTGTTCTATCTGTACGACGTTCGGAAACGAGTGACTGCGAAAGTAAGGAGTGGCTTGCATCTAAAGTAACACGCCTCGGCAAAGCGCCAGCTGCAGAGAAGTGCTTCAATACTGGTACTTCTCTGGTGCTTCAAACATATCGTTGATTAGGCACTGGTACAATTCCAGCCGGATGTACTTGCATTTCGTAGTTCCTACACGTGTCTTCATGTGACAGTGTATAAGATTCTACGTCACTAGGCATAAAGATGGAGGTTGTCATTAACTTGTTTGTTCCCACCGCACCACTGATTGACCTCCTCTTCGTGTCGGCCATCCTCCACGCTCCATTTGAATTTGCTTTGTTTCCCACGCCAGTGTCAACACAAACAACCAAATGGGGGAGTGCCGACTCCCTTGCCCTTGCTCGGAAACATGTTCGAGGATCTCTTCGGTCACTTCGAAGCTATAATCGGCATAGAGCTTGACTCGTGATGTGTGGGCTTCCCGCAGCTCGAGAGTCACCAAGTGTTCCAGCACGACAAAGAATTCGCCCACTTACTTGACTCGAAAAGGGCCTGTCCAGGCCACGAACAACATGGGATGGTAGCGTTCGTCGATACGGGACCAGAGCACAGAGTCGCCTTCACTTACATTGCATTCCTCGTACTTTTGCGGTCGCTTTCGTCACCTTCGTCCTCTTGCCACCGTCCGTCCACCACCGTAGCTCGCTTGGGTTTGTCCTTGGCATGGTGGTCTTAGGCTTGGCGGATGTCTTCCACACATTGACACACAAAGTCCTTGTTCAGTGGCCGTAGTTTGGGTTGTGCCGGTGGAGGGACTTTGTGTGCTTTGGTTTTCTTTGACCAGCCATGACCCTGACGTATTTTGACCCGCTTGGTCGCCAGACGTGGTGCCGATGATGCCGTCGACGTGCATGATATCATAACAGTAGCCGCTAATATCGGCAGCCCGTCGCATAAGTTTGCCACGTGTGTGTGCCTTCCATTATTTGCCCGGGGCAAATACATGGATAAGGTTCTTGTGGTCACCGTACATCTTGAACCCCGTAGGTCGCATACATATGTAGTTAAGCTTCTCGCACGCACACGCAATAGGGTAGGCCTCCTTCTCGATGACTGACCACGCCCTCTGCAACCATCCCCGACTGATATAGGAGCAGTTTGTGACGTTGTACTTGGAATGGGCTGTCGTCGTCGAATGCCAACCACTTGGGTTACCACAATCGACCATCCATAGTCACTCGCATCCGTAAAGAGACACATCGTCGCGTCATCACGTGGGTGAGACAGCTCCACCGATGATCGTAGCTTGGACTTTACAGCGTCAAACGCTTGCTTCTCGGCGTCGGTAAGTTCCAGTTGAACACCAAACGCGATCCGCTTCTTCTTGCCCTTGCCTTCGAAGGCCTTCGTCAGACACTGCTGCAGAGGGTCGACTGTCTGTGCGCACTCGGTCATCGAGTCCCACTGCCAGCTCACGGGGTACACAAACTGTTGCAATTCGCCCGCATTAGTAGGGTAGAAGATCGCACACAGATGCTCAATGCGTTCATGGTATTTCTTGACGCCATCCGCTGATGATGCGTCCACACCACTTGACTTGGTCCGTGAACAGCTTGGTTCTGACAGGGCTCAGCTTGAACCCGTACTGGGCCACTCGATCGAAGAAAAACTCGAGGGAAACCACATACTCTTCCACTGCGGCGGCGTACACAAATATGTCGTCGATCCAGATGAGCAGGTTCTTGTAGAGCAGGTCCTTGTAACATTCCTCGTTCGTTGCTTGCACCTAGAGGGCACTGTCCACATGGCCTTGCATCACTCGGTCTGGGTGTACACACATCAGTTCAGCATGAACGACACATGTCCTTGCTGTCTGGGTGCAGCGAGAACTGCCAAAAGCACTTGGGCAGATCGAACACGCCCATTGCTTTCTTGCCACGCAGGTTCTGGAGAATGGTAGCTTGGAAGGGCATGGTTCCCGCCTTTGGCTCGGTTAACGAGTTCACGACGCGATAGTCGTTGGTCAGACGGTAGTACTTGAGCACGTCATCTTCGCTCCACTTGTCGGTCGACTTCAATTACTTGCGGGCGTCCAGCTTGAGGACTGGATTCATCAGCTGCATTACTCGCTCTGCTGGTTACTCATGATCACGCCCCCCTCGACTAGTTCTTGTGCAAACAACTTGAGGAACCTCTCATCAAGGAGGTTGTGCTTCCTTCCTTTGCATCGGTAAGGAACTCACCCATCCTTTGGGGCTACCCTCAGCGGCTTCACTTTCGCCGGTGGGCTGACCCTCTAACTTGAATCGCCAGATTTCATGCGTGCAGAGCACATCCCACAAGTACTTAACATGTTACATTGGAAATCCGTTATCGACAGCGCTGTCGATCATGCCTTCAGGGTTTCCTCGATTCTTGGCTACAGGTAGCGCCGCTTTCAAGGACGCAGCTCGAACGGCCGATCGCTGGGGCAATTCCACGCAATCGCCACCAACTACTTCCAGGTCGTCACCATCATCATCCACTTGTAGGCGCGCCATGTCAATACCAATGGTGTTGAGGGTATCGTTCGAGACTAGAAATTCATCTCCTTCATCGACCACGTAGTAGCGGCGTTTGCCTGGCTCCTTGACTGGCCCAGCGGTCGTCTGCATTGTTAGCGCAAAGTCCACGTACATAGGAACTCGCTTCGAATGGCATCTGGCTGCACGCTGTTCCCACGAATGGCGCCGCCAACTTGACAACTTGAAGCTGGGGCTGTAACACTTGAAGTTCGTCAACCATGGCGTTTGGCATGATGTTCTGGTCTGCTCCGGTGTCCGGGCAGTAGGGAACTTCCAGTACGTTGTTCAGCCGAACCCAACGTCCATCATCATCCATGGAAGGCAGTGGGGACGTCTTCATTTGCTTCGCTTTCATGTTCGCCTTGCGTTCCCGCGCCATGAACCGCTTGGCTGCGTTATTGCCTTTCTTCCAGCTTATATCGCCGGGGTCCCCGTCTTTCTTGTTGGGGCACTCCCGAGCCATATGTCCTGGCTGCCAGCAGACAAAACACAGCATGCCGCGATCATCCCGGCCAGGTGCGATCGAGGGCGCACTTCATCGCGTGCAGATTCGGCAGGGCGTTCTTCGCGGCCAAGCTTTGAACCATAGTTGTTTCTCTGCTGGTTGACCACATCAGCGTCATGGGTTCTATTGTGTTGTTCACGTAGGATGTCCGCAAAGGCCACTAGGTCGTTAGCGGGCACTGTCTTCATTTGCTCCTCCACTCTGTCGCGTAGGTAGCTTGGTGTGACATACCACATTCACGAACGTTCTCAGCATGGTCGGGTCCTTCATTTGTAGACGTAGACCGTTCTCGTCGATCACATCATCCACCCGCTCCATAAATGACACCAGGCGGCTGGACACGCATCCATGAGGGTCAACGCTCAGCGCCCAAGAATACTTCTGCATATCGGACTTGGTGGGTGTCCACTTGGCCACTGGTTGTCTAACGCTTTGCGTGATGCGGTCGCTGTAGTCATCGTCACTGAGTTGTTCCACAGGCACTCGCCACACATAAGTGCATGTAGCCTTCAGGAGGCCGCAGTCCGTCCGTGGATGGGATCCATCCCACAGCACTCCGTCGCCACTTGCCACCCATTCGTTGCGCATTCGCTCGTCGCTTGTCCTCATAGGTCTCCCGCTTCTTCACCCAGCTCACCAGGATAGTTATGTCCATGCAGGTAATACGAGGGGGTTGGACATCCGCCACCACCAATGAAGGGCCAGAGTTGATGCTGGGCCCCCAACCTCCGCTGTTTGGCGTCGCTGGTCAGCTCGAAAGAGGTGTCCCCATCCCGAGCTGCTTGGTAAAGTCGTGTCCAGCATCCGATGCTCATGAGCCGCTCGCACCACTTTGGCGTGCTCAACACGCTTTTCTTTCGGAGGGCGGTTGGCCTTGTTGACCCGTCGCCGCTCGGCCTGCTTACGTTTCTCTTCTTGATATTTCTTTTCTTCTTCGCTGTCGGGAGTACTGTCCGGTCGATTCCGTCGTTCTGCACGCAGCTTGGCTCGGGCTTCCGCCTTCTCCTCCGCTCGCTTCTCAGCTTCAGACTTCTCGGGCGGTGGGTTTTCCTCTTCGACACACGCGTCTTACATCGGGGGCCGTGATAGTTGTTCCCAATTTGGTCTCATGGTGTGTCCACCATAGCGCCGTCGCGATTCATCCTAGGCCATGGACGCCGCCCGCGCGTTGCCCATGGCCTTGTTCGACTTGGCCAGCTCTTCCATCGTCTTCCGTATTTCCTCGCTCTTGGACTCTTCCACATCCGTGGCCCCTCCAACTACCAGGACCAACGGTGGCCCCGTCACTGGTACTTCATCCTCAGTCTCACTTCCCGCAGCTGCTGGCGCCGTTGCGGCGGCCTTCGGCTTCTGGGCGATTTCCTTCGAGTTCTTTGCATTGCTCTCAGTTCCGTAGTCAACTGGAACTACAGTATACGTTGTGTTGTTTCCCACGCCAGTACCAACACAAACAACCAAATGGGGGAGTGCCGACTCCCTGGAAATCGCACACTTGATTGACTTGATGTTACCACGGCGCTGCAGAACCAATAGTGAGATCCCGGCAGTTAGCTGGGACAGGTGTTCTGTTTTCTACGTCCTAGTACTACTATGCCTTTCCGTGTCGGTTCGCTAAGGGTCGACATCCCAGTGGCCTCGGTTGAGGACCACCTGTGGCTTGGCGGGACTTGGGATGAAGTCACCCACCACAACAGAACTATTTTGTCCAATCAAGTATCGTCGATAATTAACCGCTTTCCATTGGTCCATTCAAACATGAAATTCAAAACTCCGTCACTTCAAAAATGTCCACACTCAAGGAATGCTTCATGATGCGCTAACTTCCATGTCACCCAAGTTTTCGGCAAAACCCATGAACAACTCGAGCTGCAAGGTGTAAGGTTGTAGATGATTCACGTCGACTCATATCGATTTTGATAAGTTTAAAACGCTATCCGCCATCTCCAATTCACTTGATTTTCATTTAATACGAAATAGATGGAACATCATTTGAAATATATTGAACAGCGTGTGAAATAAACCGGCTGTGGGCGACATATCCCGGGTATGAGTCGAAATATACTGGGACGAAGTACACCGTTGACCGTAATTAGTGCGGACCTCACTAATTTTAAACCTCGTCACCAGACCTACGGCACATGTATTAGTGCGGACCGCGGTATGTCTCAATCCGCGCTATGGAGAATTAGTGCGGACCGTACCAATTTTGAATATTGATAATTAGTGAGGATTATTATCTCAAATCGGAATTCATGTAAACAGTCAATAGTGCAGACACATCATATATAAGTGTTCCTACACACTTGATGGCTTTCTATGACTATCAGAGCAATTGGGCATCGAGACATACACCTCAAACACCCAATATTGTACGAAATTGGTCAATACTAGTACTAATTACCAACCACAAATTTCTAGAATTCCATCATACATGTACTGTATTAGTGAGGACTGCACTAATTCTGAATCCACACTAATTCTCAATCCGTACTAATTACGGTCAACGGTGTAGTGTTGACGAAATAGAGCGAATGTTAGGGTAACATAATGGACGCGGCATTAATCAGTTGTGCGTCGGACAAAATATAGCGGAAAAATGTTAAATTAGTACTTTTTGGTGATTTCAGTCTTCTTGCTGTTCGTTAGGCTGATATCGAATTGAAGCATTTCCATTGCAACATTTTCTACTTGTTAAGTTATAAATATTTATAGCCAATCAAACGTGCTTAGGTTTGGGTGTCATCTTTTAATTTATTGTATTGCCAAGTTGAGGAGGCATGCATGCAAACTTGGTTGCAAAATAGGGCGAGTTTCTCCCCCGTTCACTTTACTACAGTACTAACGTCAACAGTAAGTTACGTACGGTGCGCGTCATCTGTAGCCTGTAATCTCAGCAAAATTGACCAATTCAGGAAATGATAAAGATTTTGAGGTTACAGTTCTTTTTGCTGTAGAGGTTTTGCTACTAAAATACTACGTATTCATAATATATCCGTGGTTTTGGTAATTAACCTGTGAAAAGTACATACTCTACCGGATACAATAGGCATTATCCGGTACAATAATGCCGGGTATGACCACTTATCCGGTCAAAAGGGACCTTTCATTGTAATATGAAACCAACTTTGACCTCATACATTTTGTCAATTTTGAGAATTTTCGCGATTGGCATATATTAGTCGAATCGCATCTCGCTAAACGTTCGCTTTATATAGCGATTTCACTCAAAAATTGTGATTCAAATATTTGTATCAAGAGGTTTGGACCTCATAGATGACGCGCAATGAAATATTTTGACCAATATTGTATGACAAAAACATTACCGTTGCAAGTCGAAGTTTCTATATTTCATGATGACAATTGCAGCGTGAAATTGGTTAAAAATCTATACCTTTGATGATTGACTTTCTCATCAGATTAAGAATAAGATTTTATCGAATCTGAACAATCTGCAATAGTCGAATTCGCCGACGAAACCAAATCGGACGTGAACGAAGAATCCAAGGCAGACAACGAAGCCTCCTTCGAGTCCCAAGAGCGCATACACCCGGGGCCAGGTTGAAGTATCTACTGGCATGGTCCTTCCACGGCTGGATTGCGGTTCGTCAGGATTACAAGACATTCAGACGGAGCTATCCAGCAGTATGAACTCGGCCGGGCAGAACCCCCGAACTGTCCTACGACAGGAATATGAACGACACAGCAAAAAGGGTACGTATAGATATAAAGAGTTTTTAGCGCTAGAGTTCGTGGAAAATGAATATATATTTTCAAGAATATAAAATCTAGTCGATGACACTGTCACCCTCGTCACTTTCACCGTCTTCAGATGACTGATGACTCCTCCTCCAATGCATCAACTTGTAATAGGTGTTCGTACAATTTTTGCAGTTTCCCCTCAGCCAACATCACACAACCCTTGGTTGCATCATTGCGTCAAGTTGTCAAATGCGTCAATGAGTCGCGCTTTCACCTCGGGAAACTTGGTCATCTCCGTGTACTGCCGTCCGATGGCATTTTTGACAATCGCCCACACTGTTTCTATGGGCTGCAAATCTGAATGGTGAGGCAAAGTGAACACAACGGTGTGGCCGCGCCTCGTGGACATGTCCACCACCACTGGCCGCACGTAAGAGCAATGCGAGCTGTTCCGACACATCCGCTTCGATATCATAAAGCGCGCACGCTTGCAACAACACATCCTTTGTCGCCCACAGGATGGTGAGTTTGTAGGTCGTCTCTTGTGATTCTTGGCGTTGTCCATTACAATGAAGGCGTTGGAGACGCCTTCCCCGTCTAGCTCATCAAGCAACCCTTCGAGCCACTTGACGTAGTACACGTGGTTGAACATGGAGTGGTAGTCCTTGGGGGCTTTAGCTGCGGTCGTTCCACCCGTGAAGATGTCGAGCACCAACACTTTGCTCTGCAACGTCGGGGAGTCCAAGATGGCAGCGGTGAGAGCAGTAGCGGCTGCCCTTGTGCTTTTCCTTGGCAGGGATATCCATGAGGTCCGATGGGTGGTACAAGTCTTGGTTCCGGCACTTTTAATACTGGTGGATGTAGGACTCGTCAGTGTACAAAATGTACGGGCGATGAGTAGACCGAATGTGTTGTTGCATCTGCTGCATGTATGGGTCGCGTACAATGACGTTCTTGGTCGACGAGTGGTACGTTGACGTCGTTCGCTTCCCGCGCTTGTATCCTGTTATTTTAAGAAACGTTGAACACCCCGCAGCGTTGCGTCGTACTGCTTTTTGTTTTCCTCGTTCATACTCAAGCACGAACACCTCCTTGAGGTACACCATGACATCAACGGCCATCGTGAGGGTTGTCGTCGCTCGCCAGTCCCGAACGAATGCCTGCACCATCTCAACAACCTGGGAATTGCGGGAAATCCTGTATCCAATGATTCTAGCCGTGTATGTTTGCCCATTGTTTGTTGAGAACGACATGAGAAATCAAATCAAATGAGTATGCTATTAGTATAAAGAAAAACGCTATTGATCAATGAAGTGAATCAAACATCTACAGGGTCCAAGCACTTGTTTCGTGGAGATCGTTGTTCATAACCGTCGCCTCCAACAAAATAGTTTGTTAGCTGAACGTCTTGAACACTTTCAGACTATCCAAGTGAACTTGAACAGGCAAGTTGATAGTTGCATGTGCTTTGGGGGGCTTCCGGTCGGTGGCACGGAGAAACTCAGCGCCGATTCGTGCTTCGTGCAGCAATAGTCCGCGGTAGAATGTCAAAGGTGTCGGTTTTTCCAACCTTGATATCCCCATAGGCTGCGTCCACGTTCCATGTGTCTTTGGGCTTCTCAAAACCAATTTCGACGGTTCGCTGGTTGGGCCGATTGTGACTTCCACGTTAGTGGCGTTTCGAGGCTCTGCGAACAATACACAAATACTGACTTCCCACGAAGGGTGACGGCGGTACTGGTAAATGTTGCAAGGGTAGCTAACAAATTTGACAATTCGATCGGATGTTGGAAAAGCCTCTTCACCAAACTCAAATGCGATGTCCTCGTAACACGGAATTTCAGTCGCTTCGTACCTAGGTGTTCTCGATTACACTGCATACATTAGTGATTTTAAGGATAGTGTAAATACACAATGTCTTACATGTTGCTCCGTGTCGTAGCATAGCCTTTCGGAAGTGGGTGCGAAATGCGTCGAAGCTGTACTGCTGGAATAATACATGCTCATCGCAGACGTCACGAGCATTTGTTGACGCACTCACACAACTCGATTTCACCAGGTCGTCGAGTAGCCCCTGAGCCTCACATGGAGGTGGCGTCCTCCATGCTACTCGTGTGGCCGCGAGTCCTGCGTGTGGTTGTCGGTGCATTGCAAGTAGATTTCGAAAATGAACGAGGATTGCGCGCGCAATTTCAAATCTATCTGAATAATGCTAGTACCTACTAGAGTACTAGATGTTCAATACGTTCATTCGTAACGTTCTGTTGAATTCGAATTTCCTTCAATTCGGACATGTAGAATACTTTGACCCACGATATTTCGACTTTCTACCAAAGGATTATGAATCTAATGCTGGATATGTAATGCTTACAAGTGTATCAACAACCGTTACTACAAGTACTGTGTACCAAATGCGCATGATCTTCGCTGAATTTAACGTCAAACACACACATTCATCGTGAAGGAGGACGAATTCGGCTTTTTAAGCACTTGGTTTCACTCTCTTCTGCGAGCTAATCTTGTATAAACTCAATGGATATTGAATCTATGCAATAATAAGTAGACACTTACGAGAGGATTTGCTTTGGTATTGCATATTCATCACGGTATCCTCGGACGAACAGTCTTCTTCGCCTTGTTCACATGTTCGTTGTTGTGTGTGTGGACGTCTCAATTCATTTAGTAGATACTACTACTACTATATGTACTACTATATCCAAGATCACGATTTGCAAGTGGTGCTTACACAAAACTGATAATAGTAAGCCAGCTTCAACTTCAATCCGGATAACTGCGTTTCACGAAAGCGCGCAAATTCGAAATCGATGGCAGGTCGGTTGACACCGACCGACCTTGTGGCACCATGGGTGCCGCATGATCAACCGTCATGGTGCACCTCCAGAGTCCAACTGCCGACGATACAAGGCTATGTTTGGGGTGACCCCCTTTGTGCTAGCCTTGTATGGACTATGGTTGAAGACCGACGCCCAGTGTCCTCGCGTCCAATCCACCTGCTTTGGGCGCTGCTCTTTCTCAAAGTATAGGGTACTGAAGACGTTCATCACTGCATTACTCAAGCCTACGAAAGACCTTTCGACACTGGGTTTGGAGTTTGGATTACATTAATTGCTAGTCTCAACGTGGTTGTATATCAACCTGCTATTAAAACTAATGTTATGCAAGATTGAGTTGGATTGCCGTTTGGAGTTGAGTCGTCCAAGTGACAGGGCAATTGTGTCTCTCGATGGAGTAGATTTTCGCATCCAAGAACAGCTACCTTTTGATCGCAAATGGTACTCCCACAAGTTCCATGGTCCAGGCCTCCGTTACGAAGTCGGCATCTGAATTCGGGCGGGTAACATTGTTTGGATAAACGTAGGGCTCCCATGTAGGGAGTGGTCAGACTTGCGGTTGGCACACGATGACTACATCAGCATGGCCCGCCGTGCTAAATTGACGCTTGCAGACAAAGGGTATAATTATCCCAACTATTTTATCTACCCATGACCCCAAATTCAAAACCCGAGGCGCCACAAAGACATCATGGCTCGCCACGATACCGTCAACAAACGCATGAAGCTGTTCGGCGTCTTGTCACGCGTTTTTCGGCACAGTATTGACCTCCATCCTAAAAGTTTTCGTGCTGTCGCCAACTTAACTCAATTGTCGTTGGAAAACGGCGAACCGCAATACCAAGTGTAAGCTAAATGTATTCAATTTGAATTTACACTATTCTGTATTTCCCGTAACTCCCTGTTTGTTCGTGGCACCACCGTTGGGAGGGCGGTGGTGTTGGCTGGTGGTGGGACGTCACGGACATGTAGTCGCACCATACATCGTTCACAACGCCAAGGCTGCGAACGAGAGCTTTGGCTATCTGTTTGGACGAGGACACGGCGCCGTGGATGTGGAGCCAATCATGCAAACGGAGGATGCCTAATCGCTCCTCTTTGGTCAAGTGACGATATCTGGCTGTTCTGACGAAGATAAAGCATTCATCAACAGCGATATCCATTGCCTTCAAACTCAAGATGGCGTGGCATTGTATGCTTAACCATGTTTACATACTCAAGATCCCTCCTCGTATGCATATATATATATATTCAACCTCTATAAATTAATATCAAAATTTGGAATAAAGTTACACGTGTTATTTGTTTTCTGGATGAAAATGGACATGCATTCCAACGCTGTGGCCAGTATATTTCAAGTAATATTTGTTTTCACGGCATTCGGTTGGAACAGTGAAACGCAGCTGGTCCACATACGAAGCCTCATACTAATTGAGTTCGTATTGCCCGAGATATTGGAAAAAGATCGTTAGTTGATGTCGTCGACTGTAAGTTCAAGCGTGTCTTGTATCAACCCTACGGGAAAACTAGTTAGATCGGGGAATATGGAGAATACTTGTCGTTTCTACAAGCGTCCGAGTTCTCAAAATCAAATTTGGCGAAGAATGGGTCGAGTAATATAATAGCCTTTAAACCAAAGGTATTTTTATATGGCCAATATAGGGCAGTATTCTTTGGCCACGAAGATTACCTTAATGTTAGTATGAAACTTTATCGGTATGAGACCACTTATCCGGTCAAATTTGGGTCCTTTCCATTGCAGATGACCAACTTTGGACACCATCCATACATTTTGTTGACTTTGTGATTTTCAACAATTGGCTCCGGATAAACTCTGCTCTGCCGGAAAATGGAACTGTATCCGGTAGGAGCATCTACTTTCGCAATTTACAGTATTTAGGGTGCGTCTGGTAACATTTCAAAAATAATATTCCAATTTCTCGCAATGGGATGTAACCAAATGCCATTTTCAAAAAGGAGCTAAAATGTCCATTTTGTAATATGGCGTTTTGGACCTCTTCAACGAATAAATCCCACGTGGAATTATTGGATTTGGGTTAACTGTAAATCTCTTCACTGTCAAGCAAGACCTGTTTCAATTTTGATCAGATTTGTTGAATTCGGTCCTAAAATGGCGTTTTGGGCCTGAATATTGCTATATTTCCGAGGATTGTTTGGGCCAGTCTGGGAACCTCTAACAACTTATCCTCTCCTGAAATGAAACATTTTGCTGAAATTGCGGGCTTCGGATGACGCGCAGCGTATAACGACACTGAAAAAAACACCAAACGCAAAATAGTGTGACTTTAGGGCGGGTCTCTATGCCACGAAAAATGGCATAAAATGGCCATTTTTCCAAGCAAAAGTTGCCAAAATCGGAATATTCCATTTTTCGAGATGTTGTGCGTTGGGATGTCTCCAAACTTCAACAGAATCGGGTATTTTTTTATTTTACGTAGGTATGGCATAAAAAAATGGACCGATTTGGCCCAACTTTTTTATGGAGCTTTGTGTTCACGTTGAAGTCTTGCACTTCACAGTCAATCGGAAATCGAATAATTTTTCATAAATTCAGCTGGCATCCAGACAACGTTGTACTGTAGATACTTCTTCTCTTCTTTTTTCATGGGATATGATATGAGGCTTTGGGAAAATTTTGCTGACTTGTCAAAACAGTTTATGTCATAATGTTTTGATGTGGATCCAGACCAGCCCTTAGTATTTTTGATTTGGTACGTTGGTTACATTGTTTTTTTCGTTTTACTTCGTGATTTCTGCGGAATGGGGAAAGCAAAGAAATATCGCGGCGAGAATTGTGATCGGTTTTACTTATCCCGCAGTAGTGGGAAATACGTGGCAATTCATACTGTAATATTAGTCATACGTACTTGAAGCGTTAGGATGGATCCGAGTTGTCATGCCATACTACTGTACGTAGCTGTTAGTTCGAAGTATAGTACTACTGTAGTACTCCAGAGTACTGTAATCGATTCATACTACATACTTGAAGTACTGTATTAATACTACATACTACCTCCAGTCAGGAAATAAACCAGCCATTTGGTGAAAATTGGTAAAATTGGTGTTTTGTTTGATGGTGTTATCTGATTTTGCCCTAAGTATGCTTGTTGTATACGTCTTAGTATGGCCAGTATCCCTGTGGAATATAATACCTTAAACATGAATACCCTAATGGATAAGTGGGTTCTACGCTATGAGTGTTGGTGGCTTACATGCATTCTACCTGCATCAACCAATAGTCAGCAACATTTTAAAACTATGTTTTGTACAGAATATAAATTACTGCAGGTGTATAATATAACCAGTATCAAATCGTGACAGTTATCCGGATACATGTTTTCAGTCTCTATAACATAATTTATTCCGGTAAATTCTGAAAAAACCTCCAAGAATGAAATGGCTGGTTTATTTCCGGCCGGAGGTAGTAATATGATATTGAAAATATTATAGTACTGTACCGTACTAGTACTATACATAGACGTATACTGGTAGTTGTATGTCGAGGAGCAATCATCGAAGCTCTGACAAATTTGTCACAGTTTTTAGCTGGTCGTCTCACTTTTTATCATGGAATCTATGACTAGTTCGTCACAATAGCTGTCATGTCATTTTTCGCGGTGCACATCGGCATTACGCCTGCATGATTACAAACATAGCGCACCCATCGCCACGTCAAAGCATCATGGCTGTGCCGTGGCTGCATCTCCCCGTCGCTCGCTTTTGGCGGAGGAAGTGCAAAACTTTCTGGAATGGCAAGCCAAGATACAGACCAAGCCAGCCGATACTGCATGTGGAGTTTCGGTGTCTCATATGTCAACCAAAGAATCGCGGCGTATCGCATACCGTGGTGGCTTCAGGTGTTCGTTTTGACTGTGAACGAACAATATGTACATGTATACGTATAGTGACTGGACCTTTCGCACTGGCTAAATTCTCCGTGTACTTTTCAATTTTGTGGCTCGTTGACATCGGAATGGGCATACTGCAGCACCTCTTCCGGACCAAGCCCATCGAGGTTATCAACGCGGAAGAACTCAAGGGAGAACTGCCTCGTGAACTCGGTCTGTGGGACTTGATCGCCATCGGTATCGGTGGCACAGTAGGCTCAGGTGTGTTTGCAACCACGGGGGACATCATCAGCGGTGCATCTGGTGGAGGCGCCGGCCCTGCCGCGTTTATCTCATGGACGATCGCGGGCGTGGCGTGCATCCTGAGCGGCTTCGCGTACATGGAAATGAGTGCGTTGGTCCCGTCGTCCGGGTCGACGTACGCGTACTCGTACCACGTTCTCGGCGAACTTCCTGCGTTCGTGGCGGCGTGGCTCTTGACGTTGGAGTACGGCATGTCGGGGGCTGGCGTCGCGCGGTCGTGGGCTCAAAAGGTGCAGGAATGGGCGGACGAGAGCGGCGGTGACCACACGTTCCTGAACGAGGAGCACTACAACGTTTTGGGCAGTGGCATCATGTTCTTGTCCGTGCTGATCTTGTTGGCCGGCATTCGCTTTGGCAAGGTGTTCATCAACTTCGTGTCGACGATCAAGGTCGCGGTGGTGCTAGTCATCATCGTGGCTGGGTTTGCGGCCACCAACTCGGACAACTTGACCCCGTTCGTCCCCCCCAAGAACGAAACAACACAACTTTTTGGCGTGCCAGGCATCATGCTTGGCGCGTCGCAGGCGTTCTTTGGGTTTATCGGGTTTGATGAAGTGTGCTGCCTGGCGGCGGAAGCCAAGAACCCCCGCAAGACCATGCCCCGCGCGGTCATCGGGGTCATTCTCGGCACGATGTTCTTGTCCTGCTTTGCCTCCCTCGCCCTCTCCGGTATGGTCCCATCGAGTGTGTACTCGCACTTGCCGTACGACATGGGCAACGACGCCGACGGCAACCCCCGCGGCAACCTCACATACTTCTCGTTCCCTGGCGCGTTCGGCTTTGTGGGGTACACTGCCGCCGAGCTGATCGTCCGCATCGGGGAAGTCGGCACCATGCCTATCGTGGTGCTGATTGCGTTTCTCGCCCAACCTCGTCTCATGTACGCGTTATCCGTGGACGGGTTGATCCCCGAGATCTTTGGCCGCGTGGACAGCAAGGGCAACTTGTTTTGGTGCACTGTGATTGCCGGGGGCTTCTTCGTCGTCGTAGCGTTTGTGATTCCATTCGGTGCCATCTGGAACATCGTGTCGTTTGGGATTTTGGTGTCGTTCATCATGACTAACTCGTCGTTGCTCCTCATTCGCACCCGTGAGTCGTCTCCTGGCTTGGCCTACAAGCTTACGGCGGCGGCCGTCGCCGCTTCGTGTGCCGCCATGATGACGTTCCAGAAAGGGTTTGTCGATGGCAGGAGCCATGTTGCCCTGGGGGTGTCGATGGGGTTGCTCGCGGTGACGTTCGCCCTGGGCACCGCGCTGTATGTCAAGTGCCCCCAAAACATTGGCGGCGCCGACATGTTTCGCGCGCCTTTAGTACCGTTTATTCCCCTCTTGTCCATCACAGTGAACTGGTTCTTGGTCGCGCAATTGGCCGAGAAGGACATTGCCCGCGGCTGCATTTGGATCGGATGTGCGATCATCGCGTACTTTTTGTACGGGTTCAGCCACAGCGAAGGCCGGTCCGGGTGGATCAAAATGCTCAATCACACGGTGTTGGGGTTGAATGAAGTCCGCCCGTCCATGAGCTCCATGGTACATTTGGGAGGCATGAAGAAGACGCTCTTGACCCCTAGTCAAGCCCAATCGTGATCCAGTGCTACGTAGCGTAATTAGTACAGTAATGTATAAAGTTGCATGTAATAACAATGCATGGAGACTACGTTGTGCAGCTTGACAAAGTTCACAAACATGTCATAGGTGGCCGTCGCACTTAATGTGACTATTCGCACTTATAATAAATCTAGACGTTTCAGGTTTAACCAATCAAATGCACTCCGAGTACCGAAGGGTCGCAACTGCGAATGCACCAAACGTCACAAGTTCGGGATACCAGATAGAGGGATGGAACTGGAGTACTTGGACATCGTGAGCCGCAGCATTGGTAGTGCGTTGACGTCTCAAGAACGGTCTAATCTAGAGATTGGCTTCATCAAGCGCAATGCCACGGAGAACATCGAGTCGATGCGGCTGTGGGGTCGGATATCGGGAGAAGCGCAAGACTACTTGATCAGCGTGGCCATTGTCGACGGCGTGGACGCCCCCAAGAAAAAGTTCTTCTTTTGGTGAGATGATTGTCGTTTCCATTCACTCGTTTTAAGGAGGTGGTAAAGCTCTTAACGCAATAATCCTACGTTCGGGCAGCACCAACACGTCGCCGGAGCTCCAGCAGTTTCCCGAAGTGAGCAAGGACAAGCGCGAAAAAGCAAGTCGATTCATCGGTCGATTGAAAGGCGACCCATCGCGACTCCTCGACGAATCGGAATCGGAACCCCAAGAAGGCGAGAACAAGAACGGGGTGTTTCGCGAAGTGGATCGGTTGGTGCTGATTGTCGAGGTCCACAAAACGTCCAACACGATCAAGGAATACGAATCAATGCATTCACCATATATATATATATATATATATAGGCCGTCGACAGCCACACGTCTCTCATTCCGTGCGGTGCGTTCGTCGTGTCGGCCACCCATCACGTGGTTCCCAATCGATTGTTTCAAGGTGCAAAGTAAACGCAATCGTCCACGGCTACTGCCCTTTGATTGATCCCCTTTGGTTAGGCTTGACTTGGGAGAAAGCGCTGCAATTGGGCAGCTACCATCACTTCCGTGAAGCGACCTCTGCCGAGCGCAAGAACGCCCTCGCCACGCCGGGCTTGGTGCGTCCGTCCGACTTTTTGGACCCGTTGACAGTCGACCTTGACGGTACTTGGACGTTGCGCAAGGACGGCACAGGCAGCGTTGTGTTGCTGCGCAACTTGTTGTATCCGGGCTTTGTGTTTTTCCACAAGCCGCGCACGGGGCACTACGGGTCGGTCTACTTTGGCGACGGCCTCCGCAACCCCGACCTGGCGTTTATGTTGTAACCACCACGAATACATACAGCACTACTACATCTGACGAAGGAAGGAGCAATATATCTGTATAGAATCGTTACTACACATTGCCATATTACTAGTATATTTTCTTATCCAAACTGTTGTGACCTCAAACTCAGTCATTAACCAACGAGTCCAATCATATCGTATTGTTTTGCCTTTTCAAGCATATCCAACCCCCTAGTAACGTTAAACACATAGCTGATCTTCTTCATCCAATCCTCCAGCTACAGTCTGTAGCTACACACTCCAAACCCATAACGCCCCTCGACATAAAACGATGGCATTTACATATACTTCGTAAATTTCAAGGCATTTCGTCGTCGCTACATGTTTCGCACTTGTTTGCGAAGGGCCTTGTTCACTTGACGGTCGTGTAGGGCTTGGATTTCATTGGCAAGCACTACATCCCGTAGTTTGGTCCGGCGGTACACCGAGTTGAGGTTGTCGTCCAGTCGGCCTTGGCGGAGCAGCATTTCGCACGCGTGAAAGGCCGCCAATGCTTTAGCGATAGTTTTCGTCCGCATGAAGCCCGTTTCAATGGCCGCGAGACCCACGGGGGCGGGCAGCGTCAGTTTGGCTTTGAACATGGGCAATTTGTCAATGCGTGCTTCCACAAACTCAAACGAGGGCTTTAGCACCATCTTTTCATAATCCGGCAACGACTGGCAAAACATGTGGAGCGCCGAGATGCTCGAGTCCAAGTCGAGCACCGCGCCAGACTTCTCCACCTATTCAACGTGTCATCACCACCACCTCGTCGCAGCAGGCGCGACGTACCCGCAGCGAACACGTGGCCGCCACGAGCTCGCCGTCGTCGAGGCCGACGATTGTGTACTCTCGCGACTGGGCCAAGGCGACGATTGACCGCGGTTCCATGCCCAGCGTCACTTGCTTATCGCAGCCGAATTTCAACGCACTGATCTCTTCGGCTTGCCGCGTGAGCACATCAAACATGGCGCCGTCCTCGACTGACGACACATCCGTCAGGTAAAAGCACACGCCGTCCGTGTGCCGCGCTCTGCCTCGAACCTATTCCCGCCAAAGATGAAAACACACATAGCTAGCTTGGATAACTCGTGCCGATGCATGCATCCCCCTTGTCGCAGAGACCAAACCTCACTATACATGTGCAATACAACAACTACGCTGTGCCCCACAAGACGGGGGGGGAACTGGGGGGGAAAGGGGGGGCAGGGTGATAAACCTACCTGAATAAACTTGCGGGGGCACGTGAGCGGATCGCCACATATGACCATTGAACACAACGGAAAGTCGACGCCTTCGCACGACACGGACGTGGACACGAGGACGCGCACGGCACCCGACTCGAACGCTTGGAGCATCGATTGCATGTCTGGGATATCGTAGGACGCGGCGTCACTTGCACTGGCTTGGCCCAACATGCACCCAAACAAATCGTGTCGATTGTCGTGCTGCATCACCACATCTTCGTCGTCGTCGTCAACCTCTCGACCAATCGCTGCGGGGGCGACAAATTTGGCGTTCAAGTAGTCTGTCAAGGCTCGGCACTCGGCCCGGCGGTTAACAAAGATGACACACTTGAGCTGTGTGTCCAGCGAATCATTCGCCCCCGAGTCATGGTCGTGGGGGAGAAGGGGCTCAAACTGCAAGGTGTCTTCGTCTTCTTCGCCGCTCATTGCGTCGTCGTCGTCGCTGCCATCGACTGCATCCACGTACACGGCGTCTTCCAACATGGCTGCAAGGTCGGCCTCATCTTGGTGCGTGGCTTGTTCCCCGTGGAGTTGCGCCATGGACGTTTCAGGGGTCGCGAGGGGGATGCGGCCGGCAAAGAGTTTGTCGTGGAGAATGGAGACGATCTTGTCCACCTTGGGGGTGCACGCCATCCGCGTCTGGAGGCGCTTGTCGGCGCAGCGCAGAAGCACGTCCACGGCGCGGACGTCCAGCCCCACGACGCTATCCGCGGATGTCCACCGCACGGACGAAGACCGCGCCTGCTTGTCGATCTCGAGCTCGATGAACCGGTACATGCACCACGGCCCGAGGTTCTGGTAGATGGTTTTGCAGTCGTCCAGGAGTTTGGTCATGCGCTTCCCGCGCTTCTCGGCAGTGCTCGTATGGCGGTACTTGCCTTGTGACAGCAACGCACTGAACACGTCGAGCACGTCCAGCTCTGACAGCAGCCGCGACACAATGTCCACAACCGTGGACGGGTGGCAGTCGACGTTGGGCTCGTACGTTTCGTGTATCACGGGCGCACAGGCCGCGTACTTCGCCAGGTCGTGGGCGTGCAGTGTGATTTTCTTGACCACGGCATGCATGTTGACGCTGCAGTGCTTGGTCGGACATGCTGTGGTTCCAAACACGCGCGGCATGCGCTTGTCCGTGGGGTCGTACAGCTTCATGATTTGGTTGTACGGGTGGCGCTTGCCCACGTGATGGCACTCGTCAAAGATGAGCAGGTTGATGCGATCCATGGTGATGTATCCCTTGGTGATGAGGTTGCGCAAGATCTCGGGGGTGCACACGAACACGCTGTTGAGCAGAATCTCGTGCTCCCACTTCATCTTGTCCCACACCTCGAGCTCCCGTCCGCAGTACGCGTCGACCTTGAGCGACGTGAGCTTGACGATCTTGGAGTGGATTTGGGACACGAGTTGTCGCGTCGGCGCCATCACAAACGCACGTTTGAGCGAGTAGTCTTGCTCGCGAAGCAGCATGATCGACACGAACGTCTTCCCAATCCCGGTGTTGCCCACCATGATCACATTGCGCTCACGTGCAATCTTCACCACCTCCTCCTGGTAGTCTCGAAGTGCCGCCATCCTTTCTGCAGTTGGACAATAATGTAATAATCCAACACTCGCACTATTTTGATGTTGAAAAGTGAGAATACCGATCTCCCATTGGTCAGCATAGCTTATGTAGGCGCTGATTGGCTATAGGGTCTCCTTTGTTTTTTTGTTTTTGTTTTTTCTGCGGAAAGGGCATTAGCCAAACAAACGTCGCGGCGCGGATTGTATAAATATATGCAAATCTTGGCTGGAGCTACGCCTTTCTCCATTAATTACTAGTACTACTGTAGCAGAGTACAGGGGGTCTCAATAGCACTGTACTACAATGATTCCCAGGGCACATTTCTCTTGAGAAGGGTTCCTTCGTCGTGAATATCGGCGGGGGCTACTTCGATAATATTGCAGCAAGTCGTACATGTCGTTCGGGTAGACGAACAACTGCATCATGTTGCCGTTGGGGAGGCGGATCACATGTTTGTAGGTCTCGACATTGGAGGTAGGCAAAGGTCAGGGGGTCCGTCATGTGCGCCATGAGCGCGAACTTCTCCCGCCTTGAAGAACGACACTGATCTCTTGCGAGAATACAGTCGAGGCGGTTTCGAACCCAGGGCAGGGGCGACGGACACGACTGTGGCTCCTTCACCATAATGTCCCACGAGGACATCGTCTGGCCACTCGATGATCATGACGGTGGCAGACCAGTACACGTCGGCTGTAAACGGAAGCGCGGTGTCTGAAAAGAACTCTAAGCGATGGGATTTGAATATCAAGACATTGAGGCCGCTCATGACGGCTCCACGGGCGATCGTCAGGCCAACTCAACGGCCAAGAGTGTCAGGACGTCCCTGAAGACGCCACTGGGCGACGAATTCGCCGCGGAGAAGCCGTCGGACAGGGACACCAACATAATCATGCTCGGTTTGACCTCAAAGCAGTCCAAGACGCGAACGTCCTGCATCGATGTGAGCTCCAAAACCGCCTGTAAACGCTGTCGCATACGTTCAATACGTGAGGTTTCACCCCACTGACACCCCTTGAAGAGTGCGGCACGCCAATATTCATGCTGCCCCCGACGATCCTGACGGCCAGCGTCGAACTACTTCGCATGCGAACGGTCAACGTCCACAAAATGGTCGATGTATTCGCCATGGCCATTTGATTCAATGCAAATGCCCTTTGGTCCGTTAGTGGCGCATCCAAACGATGAGCTATCGTGTAGCACACTATTGGAAACCAGCTACCGTCGAACAGGGACGTAGGTTTGACCTAGATACCGCACCCCCCACAGGTACATGCGATTTTGAAAGGTCGGGCCATCAATTTGCAACGTACAGTACCTGTGGGTTGGTCCACAACCGACTTCATTTGTACCGCTATGGTCGTCGACGGCCACAGTCGCCTTCGCACTCGCAAGATCGTCACGACATCAAACGTCGACACGGCCATGAACACCCAGCGCCCGTTTCGAGGCGTGGGGTCTGTTTCCGACTTCGAGCATGACCAGCTCCACCGTCGAATTCGTCGAATATGTCGACAACAGGGCGTGGAAATGTGGTCCCACCGACGCGCTCGATCTCGAGGCCGCGCGATCGTACCGAGCCAACATCCCACACCGACGCGAATGTGTTGACACCCAAAACGTTGGACACGAGGTAGTCAAAGAGACTTTAAACCTTCTGCGCGCGGACGCGTAGTGCAAGCCGCATGGGTGTAGCGACTTGGTTGAACATGGGGCGGACTGGCTGAGCAGCTACAGCTGTACAAACGTCACCAGGCTGTCCAGCATGGCAAAACTCTTAAGCTAAGCATGAGCACCAAGTGGTTAGGATATGAGGGTCACCTCAGCTCTTGCCAGCAGAGTGGTGGACGAGCAGTCTTCAATGTCGCTGTGTATGCAAGGTGGCCACAGATTTTGCCGAAACGTGGCAGCTTGCAGGAACGACGCCGATAGAGCAGACTTGTACATGGCTAGCGGAAAGCTATCTTGGCTCGTCGAGTTGGGGGGAGGTTTAGTAGAATGACGGGGTAAGCCCATGGACCTCTGGAATTATGGTAGTGAGAAGCGAATTCGATGACTGGCACCGATTCTCCCGATCAAAGCACGTCTGTGGCGAGCAGGCCATACATACTACGTGACGAACGATACGATGCAATGTGGCCAAGCGTTGGTGTTGCGTCTCGAGGAGGGGGACACGGGCAAACGATGGCGCTCGACCACCTCGTCTTACCAAACATATATACAGTGTACTTGTCAGTTACATGTTGAAGGATCAGTTCCGTTGTGGACTGTTGTAGCAGTTACACAAGAAAGTACTGTAACGGTGTTTGGTTCGTGCATCGTCAACATACACATAACTGCGCCTGTGGAGCGACTCAAGGGGGGTTGAATGTTGATATATAGTAGTGCTGTAACATGCCATGATACAGTACGCCCATCGCGCACGACGTTCCATTGAAGGTAAGTAGTCTACGAGGGAACAGAAACACCTGGAATGAACGCTAGCTACTGGTGCTGCAAGTCGTAGTACGCTTTATGCGTTTTGGCTGTGAACTCGTGGAACAGCATCGAGTTTTTCCATCGAGACAGCAACGACGGCACCCCCGCGGGCAAGTGCGTCGTTTGGCCGGCTGCGTGCGGATCCATCGTGTCTGGCACGCGCATGGGCTCGTCGTGCTCGACACTCATAAACACCGCGAGGGTCTCGCGGTTCACACCGGTCACTTGGGGGCCACGGACGGCGTGCGGCGTCGCCTGCAAGATGCCTCCCGTGAGAATCTGGGACGACTCGCCGATCTGAAACACGAGGTGGCCCGTGGGGATCACAGCTTTGACGATGTTCCCTCGTCGTGTCTTGATGTATAGCCCAGCCTGACATATAAGTGGCGTGAATGAAATGCATCGAGAAGTTTGTATCGTGCATGAACATATATATATACTGCTGGGTCAGGGTTCTCGACGACGTTCCCGTCCATGTCTGTGAAGAGGGCTTGGACAAGACCGGTCAACGCGCTGTGGTCGTTGTGCCAGCCGCACCAGTTGGAGAAATCTCGTTCGGTCATCGGGCTATTAGTAGTAGTAGGAGGGGCAGGGACGGTGTCCTATGTGTAGGGTTGGCGAGTCAAGTGGTACCAGCATATCATTTGACATGGCAAAGTGAATGCGTTGTACCTTTGGATCCAATGCAAAGTAATGCAAGAGTCGACCACATGGAACGCGGCTGGACGTGATGCGGCGATGCAGTTTCCCTGCTTCGTACGTAGGGCACTTGGACTAGAACCACCATATTATGTATCGAAATCCATGCTGTGATGGGTACCTCGACGTAGGCATCGCATTGCTTGGCGACCAAGAGACCCGTGTCGATGATCAATTGGCCCAGCGACATGAAGGCAGGTTCAAGGTCGGGCACCTCATCTACACAGACGGCGACATGATAAACACACCAGGCCAAAGCTCAGAGGTACCCGTGGGCCAAATATTCGGGTGGTACATCGTCGGGAACGTTGTCATCAAGTGTTCGTCTTCCGTGGGTCGGTTTGTGCGTGGGTTGTTGTAGTACGACCCCTTGGAAAAGTCTGGCTTGCCTTGCAAACTCTCCTTGCCATGGCTCCATCCAAAGCTGTAGTACGCACTTCCGAGCTCGTACTTTTGCTTCACTTCGTCCGACAAGGTGGCAACTTTGAACGCCAGCGGCAAGCAGCGCGCGCGCCGAGCTTCAATGTCCGGCACGTTAGCAACAGCCAGAATGCCCAACCCGTCGGGACCAAATGCGGCTTCAATGAGCGCCCCGCAGTCGCCTCCTTGGGCCAACGTGGCGTAGTCCACCACGGACACATTGGCGGTGCGGATGGCTGGCTGCGCTTGCTCTTGCGACATACCTCTCAAACGAAAATGGATCGTTGTCCATGACGTAGCATCACGAAGCTGCTGGTTGAAGGTTATCCAAATGAATCCGGAGTAACAAATCGAACGAACCAATCAGCGCGACCCTTTTTTATCCGGATGCTTAGTGATTATCCGAATACGCGATTAAGTACGGGTCAGGAAAGTGCGCTTACAGTAATAGCTCCCCGACCGACCACCGCATCATGCAACCCACGGTGGAGAAACCGCGCAAGAAGCGCAGCCGCTTTAGCGAACCAGAGACTCTAGGTGATGATACATCAGCATCTATAAGCCATGGAGAAGTGACAAAGAAGCCCAAGATTGATCCAGCGGCCCTCGCGAAGGCAGCAGCGGCCGCCATCTCGAAACAACTGCCGAAACACATTGGTGCGCCGATCACTATACACGACAAGGAAAAGGCACGGGAAGCCGCAGAGAAAGAAGCTCGCATCGAGAAGATTCTCAAGTCCACACGAGAACAGATTAGCCAAGTCCAGAATCTATGGACAGGGTTTGACAAGAAGTCGTTCATGCCAGCACCGCTGCTCTTGGACGACCAAGGCCGCCACATTGACGCCTCAGGCAACGTCATCGCTTCCACCATTGCACCCAACGCCACCCTTAAAGCCAACATTAGCGGTACGTCTGTCTGTCGTTTCTTCCTCAATTCGCTCGCTCAGCGTGACTTTATGACTTGAGTAGTTGCCGATGCCCAGAAGGAACCCGTGCCAAAGGCCGTGAACCCATACTTGTCCTTTCGCACTATTGACAAGGACGATCGCATGGATTCCCTGGATCCACGTCTCAAGACGAAAAAGCGAGAAACGTACGTCATATTGCCAACGTCACGTTTGATCTGCTCACGTCATGGCTTTGTAGACGAGGCGCAAAGAATTTCAATTTTGTCAAACAAGGCACGTTTGTGAAACAAGGCGAGCAAATGCGTGCCAAGGAAGCCAAGAAGATGCTCGCCGGGTTTTCCTCCGGGCGCAATCCGAATGCGTATGTCAAGGAAACAGTGGCCGACGTTCCCGACGCCACCGCCGTGCCGCCATCCGTCAGCGACAAGGACGGGGTCAACCCAGTCTTGTTCGACGTCGAGGACGTCCCGATGAAGCCCGACGCGCCCGTGCCCGAAGTCGAGTGGTGGGACATTGTATTTTTACCCAAAGACAAGCAAGACTTGGTCGACAAGCATGGGTTTGCCAAAACCATCATCGGGCGTGGGACCCATGGCGGCACGCTGGACTATCTCGTGGACCTGCGCCTAAAACATGCAGGGACGTCCCACTTGATCGAGCATCCTGCCCGTATCAAGTCGGCGCGCAAGGAACAGATCGTGACACTGCCCATCATGCTGACCAAGGCCGAACGAAAGCGCATCCGCCGCACGACGCGTAGCGAGCGGCTCAAGGAGACGCAGGACAAGATCGCGCTCGGCTTGTTGCCGCCGCCAGAGCCCAAGGTGAAGCTGGCCAACATGATGCGCGTGCTGCAGGACCAGGCAGTCGCCGACCCGTCCGCCGTCGAGCGCAAGGTCCGTGCGCAGGTGGCGCAGCGGGAGCTGAACCACGAAATGCGCAACTTGGCGCGTAAGCTCACGCCCGAGGAGCGGCGCGAGAAGACCCTTAACAAGCTCAAGAAGGACGCCGCCGGCGACATTTGCGTGGCCGTGTTCAAGGTTCCGACGCTCGAGCATCCCCAACACAAGTTCAAAGTGGACGTGAACGCGCAGCAGCTGCAGCTCACGGGCGCGGTGCTCACGGTGACCGACAATGCCGCCATCAACTTGGTCGTGGTCGAAGGCGGCCCCAAAAGCATCAAGGCGTACGTCAAGTTGATGTGTCGTCGCATCGATTGGTCGTTGACGCCGTCCAACGAGGACGGAGACAATGAGGACGACGACACCACCCCAGCAGACGGCGACACCGTACATAAAGACGACAAGAACCACGAAGAACAACACAAGTCTGGCAAGACCAAGCCAAAGTGCTACCTTGTGTGGAAAGGTGTCGTGGCCAAGCGCGCATTTGCCAACTTTCGGTTCCAGGAGTGCCGCAACACTGTCACGGCGCGCAAAGTGCTCGAAACCAAACACGTGGAACAGTACTGGGACATGGTTGAAACGTACAACCCGTCGTTGAGTGGGGGGACCTTCGACGACGACGATAACAACGAATGAACAAGCGATCGTGCTCCTCCTATATATATATTGTGATCATAATTTTCCTCCTCTGGCGGTTGAACAATCGCCGGACCTTCGAAATTTCATATGAAACTAAGTTGAAGTGGTATCTTTGTGACTCAAATATACTACAAGCAATCTTTTTAGCCAATCATATTGCAACCATCATCCTTTGCTCGATTAGTTGTTGGCGATTTTATCAATAGTAGGATTGTGAATTCGCTATAAACTTCCAAAATTCGCGCGGTTTGTCTAATCAATATCGAATCACGCTAGAGTTCTGATGTCGTTGAATATACTTGTCCTATCTGTAAAAGCCAATCAAATCCATTCAAAATTGGATTAGCCAATAGCGTCGACTCGTGATTCGATTCGGCGGTGAGTTTTCAAGTAAAGTTACAGTAATATCATCCGGATACAGTATCCGGTCGGTATCCCTTTCAACGGCTAAACGTATGGAATCGCTAGACGTGACAGAGGCCGCGGCGACGACGCGGCGGCAACTTGGCCTTGTGCCAGTGGTCCTCATGACCTTTCTGAGTGTATGTGGTGGTCCGTTTGGCAGCGAAGAGATCGTGTCAGCATGCGGCCCATTGATCGGATTGACGGCGTTGGCAGTGTTTCCCCTTGTGTATTCGTTGCCGATGAACTTGCTCTTGGCGGAACTGTGTAGTGCGTTTCCAGTGGACAGCAGCTTCTGCACGTGGGTGGGCATGGCGTTTGGGTCGTCTTGGGGGTTTTACGTCGGGTATTGGTCGTGGATGGCAAGTACATTTGACGCCGCCGTGTACCCGTGCTTGATCACAGACGCGCTCTTCTTGGGTGTTTCCTCCGACCATGACAGTGTCATGGTGTGGGCCACCAAGACTGGTATTCGCGTGCTCATTCTGACCGTTTTCATGGTTCCGACTCTCTTTAGCCTCTATTTCGTTGGCAAAGCGTCGACGTGGGTAGCCGTGGTCGTGCTCTTGCCATTTGGGGTGCTCGTGCTGGTGGCCCTGCCACAAATGCAGTGGGGCAATCTGTTGGCCGTCAGTAGTTGTTCTTCGGTACACACCATTCCAAGCTTTGTGTCCACACGTCGTCGCATATGATGTTTTGTGTCCACACGTCGTCGCGTATTATAGATGCAGTGGAGTCGACTCGTGAGCGTGCTATTTTGGAACTTTCGAGGGTTCGATGCCATGGGAGCGTACGCGGGCGAGATTCAACATCCGCAGACCAACTTTCACCGCGCTATGGTGGCCAGTTTGCTCCTCATCACAGGGACGTACATGCTGCCCCTCGTAGCCGCCGTCGGCGTCAACCAACCAGCGTATGCTACGTGGACGGACGGATCGTTTCCTGTGATCGCTCGCGCCATCGGAGGGGGTCCGTGGCTGGGCCAGTGGGTTGCTGTGGCCAACACTGTCAGCAGCTTCGGCTTGTACTTGGCGGAGTCGTCTGCCAACGGCTTCCGCCTCGCAGGCATGGCCGACGTTGGCCTCGCGCCGTCGTGGTTTGCTCAGTAAGCAACTTGTGGGACTACATTGGATTGGACCCCCATACAGTACTGACCATTCATCTTGAACTTTGAGTTTTGCGTTCTACCGGTAGTCGAGATGAAGCCACGGGGTCGCCGCGCCGTGCGCTGCTGTTTATTTACGGGCTCAGCGTCGGCATGTGCTGTATGGACTTTACTACGATCTTGGGCGTGACCAATGCACTGTCGATCCTGGCTCAGCTAGTGCAATGTAGCGGGGCGTTGACATTGCGGTTTACCCATGCCGACTTGGCGCGTCCGTATCGAGGTACCACGCAGTACAAGTGACATGTCAAACGCTAACTAAGTGCGACATCGGCAGTGAATCTGTCCAACCATGTGCTGAGTGGGGTGATGGTGCTGCCCATGGCCCTTGCGGTGGGCGTGTTTGTAAACCAAGTGCTGCTGAATGCCATCACGTTGGGACTCACGACTGCGGCTGTGACGATGGGCATATGTGTGCGACTAGCGTTGCTTCAAACGCAGCCGAGGCACCAGTACGAGCCCATTCCAGACTGTGCACAGGGAACTTAGACGTTCGGCGACAGGCTGGACAAAGATCTACACGATAACTAGAGATTGTCATGCGATGCAGTACTAGTAGCCTGGGTTCCGTTTGCTCGAACCCACACAAATTGCACTGGGATGCAGATGCTAGCCCAAGGCTGCCAGTATTACCCAGAGGCGTACACGATGGAATTCTTCATTTCTTGGACGAGTCGTACTCGCGCTGGGATGGTTGGGGGCAACAGGTAACATCTTTGCGTGGAGCTGACTTGAGGTAATGGGCTTATAAACACTTTTTCGGAGATGCTGTCGTGGAAGGCAGTGACTCGCCATTAACAGTAAGTGCCCGCTGAGTGATTTTAACTTTAGTGATTTTAACTTTACAACAAGTTATTAATAATGAGGTGAAAAGTAGTCGCCCATTATGCATACCGAATAGCAACTTGAGGGTCAGTATCCACGAACCAGTCTTCCACCGAAGCACAATGGAGGCCGGGGATATCGTAGCGTTCGCAACTACACTTGCAGCAGTAGCTTGTGTGGTGACCATTGTCGGACACGATGGCAGATCAAACAAGGAGCCACCGATGAATGTTTACTCCGTTCGAAACAACGTCTGGCAATGTATTTCTGCTCTATGCTAGTACTAGTATGGGTTTTGGATGCCCTTGGCCTCTTCGCTGTCGGGCCGGCCGTCTTTAGCAACCACTTCTGGTTGCCAAAGCTCCGTCATTATTATGATTCTTTGGCCATGAGACTGGCCCTTACCACAGCTCACAGTCACAGCCTCCACCGTCCATATCTGGACACATTGCACTGACCAGTTATTATTTTTACCCGCACCAACTTTTCCTTGCCCAAAAAGTTCGTAAAAAAAATGAGGTGGATTTTACTTCAACCAGACCTTTTGTTTAAGTTACCCATTTGCATATTTTTGTGCGGTTAGGTTAAAAACGGCCTTTCTAGGAATTGATTGGTTATTACGCGTGCAACCTTAAAATGGATCATCGAGCACCTTGTTAAATTGGACTTTTACTTTTGTTCAACACGAGTGAGTAGATTGGATTCGTCTGTGGACACGCCAACGAAGGCGCCAACTTACTGTAAGCAGCGGGTGGATAATGGCACAACTGCAGAATGTCCTCTTTTTGCTCGTTACAAGATCAAACGTTGAAAATAATTGAAATAATACACGAAAACAAAGCCAAATTACGTGAATTTCAGCCACAAATTCGCCGATCGTGGGGTTCGAAAAAAGTGGATTCGATCTTTCGAATGTTTTTGGAACCCGTCATTTCGGTGTTTGCCTTCAACATGTCTGAAGCATTCGACTTGTCCAAGAAGCATCAAAAGCAAGGCGGCCACCATAACCACCATGGTCATGGCGGAGACAAGAAGCAGTACAGTCTAAATGGTGAAGCAAAGCCGTATCACCATGCTCACGGTGATGACATCAACTCAACTCCCAAGCCTCCTCACCCCGCTGCCGACAGGTAGACCGCTCTCGTCTCAATCCACTTATGTCAGCATCATAACCACAACGTAT